GGGGCCTCTGGAAGCCTGGGCCAGCCATAGACCGCGTCAAATCACTCCTGCACAAATTGCACCAAGGGTCAAAGCACCGTGACTTGTGGAGGGGGAGGGAGTGGGGGGATGGTGGGGAGTACACAAGCTAATGTCTCCCTGGGTTTTTTCCAAAACCAGACATAGTCCATTGAGAGCCTGTCACAGGGAGGTGCAATGGCTGTTTCACGAGCTCCAGGCTGGAGAGCACCCATCTCCAGATAGCCTGCTTCTGGGCATTTCAGCAGCATCAACCCACTTCTGGTTACTGATCAACCGGCCACCCCCAGCGTCTGCTCCTGAGCCCCCTGCCTCCTCCCTCCTGTCTGCCCGAACAGGGCCTAATGGGTCATTTACCGTTGTTATTGAACCTACCCAGTGGCTCCGCAGAAGAAAGGCCTAGCGATCTGCTTCTGTAAAGATTACAGCCAAGAAAATCCTATGGGGCAGTTCTACTCTGTGACACCAGGTTGCTGTGCGTCAGAATCGACCAGACAGCACCCAACAACAACACTGTTGTTGTTACCAGGCCCACTCCCACAAAGTGCTTACGCTTTCTCTTCTGTGATCACAGAACCAGAGCCACCATCCTCCTCAGAAGAGGAAACTGAGGCCCAGAGAAGGCAAGGGAAAAAAACCAAACCCGGTGACTGCTGCCGATTCAGTTTCAACTCAGTGACTCAATAGGACAGAGTAGAACTGCCCCATAGGATTTTCAAGGCTATAATCATTACGGAAGCAGAACTGCTACATCTTTCTCCTACTGAGCAGCTGGTGAGTCCAAATGGCCAACCTTTCAGTTATCAGTGGAGCGCTTAACCACTTCGCCACGAGGGCTCCTTGAGTTGCAAGGGACTGGGCCAAAGTCACACAGCAGCTGTCTGATTTCACAGCCCCTCCTCCTTCTAGAACAGCCAATTTCCTGCCTGCTTGTTTATGTCTGGCAGCAAGGGGGCAACTGTGCGTTGGCGTCCCTCCCGGCCCCACACAGTGCAAGAAGCCCACAGGGAGGAAAGAGCAGTCCTGCAAATGATTCCAGAGACTGGGCTGTGGTCCTAGGGTCTTCCTGGGCTCACTCTGGCTCCGAACCTCAGCCTCCCTGATTATAAAACAGTAGCGTTGGCCCAAGGGACTCTAAAGGTCCAAAACACCATGGGGCGGGGGCACGCTGGCCTACCTTTGACCAAAGAATCTCTGGTCTTTCAAAAGTCAGAGACAGGAACAGGATGGGGGGCACCTGGCTGAAGACCCTCGCCAGGCCACAGAGCATTTCCGGTTGAGAGAAAGGAGCAAGCTGAGTCCTGCAGGAGAGCTGCTGCTGAGTCCAGGCCTGGCGCCCCAAAGCCCGTGCTCCGTTCCTCTCCGGACCTCAAACCTGGCTGCTGCTGGCCCCCCACTCCAGCCCTTCATCCTGTGCCAGACGCCTCCCGCTCGGGTGACGGACTTCTCTGCTTCCCCCTGGCGGCTGGAGCGCACAGCGCCCATCCCCGCGCTGGAGGCCCCGTGGCGGCTCCGCCTGGAAACAAGCACTGCCGGACCTGGAACAGGAGGGCGGCAGGGGCCAGAGCCGGGCTAGTTGGGGGCAGGGCGGGTGGCGGAGGGCGGGGGGGGAGGGGTTGTTGTTGTTGTTGTTGTTGGTGGTGGTGGTGGTGGTGGTGGTGGTGGTGGTGGTGGTGGTGGAGGGCGGGGGGGTTGCTGGTGGTGGTGGAGGGCGGGGGGGTTGCTGGTGGTGGTGGAGGGTGGGGAGATGTTCTGGGGACTGAAAAAGAATTACGTAAAACATTTGGCGCAGTGCCTGGCCCCTGTTAAGCACCTAGCAAACGCTGCTGTTACTACTGAATTACTATTGTTATTCTCTGCGGAAACTAAGGCCCAAACAAAGTGATTGTATATGCATGTGTGTGCATTGCGGAGTAGCGGTCGTGGCCCGAAGTCTCAGAGGATCAGAGGCACAACCGGGGCCAGAACCCGGATGCGCAGGTGGCCGTTGAGCCCAGTGCGGTGGAAAGGCGCCTGGGCGCAGTTTCCTTCTCGCGCCCAGAGTGGACAGGAGCCGGGCGCAGCCGCTGCAGAGGGCCGTGGAAAGTGGCGGGGCTATGACGCACCACGCAGGGCGGGGCGGGGCAACTCCGGGGTGCTTTTAAAGGCTGCGCCCGGACGCGGAAAGCCAGAGCGCGCGGACCACCGAGAGCTTGCACCGTTCCATTACTAGTCCTAGCCGGTGCCCAAGCCGACGCGACCAGGGATACCCACTACAGCCGTGCCCCGTGCCTTCAAACCAGCCGCGCGCATTCTCTCGGACCCTTGCCCCACCCCCGTGGCCCCAGCACCAAATGAAACTGGCCGCAATGATCAAGAAGATGTGTCCGAGCGACTCGGAGCCGAGTATCCCATCCAAGAACTGCTACCGCATGGTCATCCTCGGTTCGTCCAAGGTGGGTAAGACAGCCATCGTGTCGCGCTTCCTCACGGGCCACTTCGAGGACACCTACACGCCCACCATCGAAGACTTCCACCGCAAGTTCTACTCCATCCGCGGCAAGGTCTACCAGCTCGACATTCTCGACACGTCCGGCAACCACCCGTTCCCTGCCATGCGGCGTCTGTCCATCCTCACTGGTGAGTTGGGGCTGGCCGGGGCTCAGAGACCCGGGGCCGCGGGCAAGGGGAAGGAGCTGGCTGTGGGAAGGGGAGGAGACCCCTTCATCCAAGGGTGCCAGTGAGGGCTCTGCTCTGGTTAGAGGCGCGTCTGCCCTGCCCGCCGAGAGCCGAGTGCTGCGCTTGGAAAGTTTTGCGCGCCCAACGTGTCTCGTTGGCAGCCGCCTTACCCTCTCCTCTCCCCTCTCTCCGCCCCGCAGGAGACGTTTTCATCCTAGTGTTCAGCCTAGACAACCGCGACTCCTTCGAGGAGGTGCAGAGGCTCAAGCAGCAGATTCTTGACACAAAGTCTTGCCTTAAGAACAAAACCAAGGAGAACGTGGACGTGCCCCTGGTCATCTGCGGTAACAAGGGTGACCGGGACTTCTACCGCGAAGTGGAGCACCGCGAGATCGAGCAGCTAGTGGGCGATGAACCCCAGCGCTGCGCCTACTTCGAGATCTCGGCCAAGAAGAACAGCAGCCTGGACCACATGTTCCGGGCGCTCTTCGCCATGGCCAAGCTGCCGAGCGAGATGAGCCCGGACCTGCACCGTAAGGTGTCGGTGCAGTACTGCGACGTGCTGCACAAGAAGGCGCTGCGCAGCAAGAAGCTATTGCGCGGCGGCGGCGGCGGCGGCTGCGACCCTGGCGATGCGTTTGGCATCGTGGCGCCCTTCGCGCGCAGGCCCAGCGTGCACAGCGACCTTATGTACATCCGCGAGAGGGCCAGCGGCGGCGACCAGGCCAAGGCCAAGGAGCGCTGCATTATCAGTTAGGAACCTCCGCCGCGCCGGCAACCGAACGTAAGGAGAACCTTTATTTTAAAAGTGAGACCTGTTGCTCCGGCCAGGCCCGCGCGCCCAGGGCCCGCGATCTGGCCCCACGATGCAGGGAGGTGCAGCCGCACCGAGCAGGGCCGGTCATCTGCACTGAAAGGAAAGAGAACTGCTGCGACCAGGACTCCCTGTCCCCCCCCCCCCCCCCCGCCCCATTCGCCACTGGCGCCCCACCACCTGACTCGGGGCATGGGCCCAGGGAAGGGGGCACTTGTCTTGTCACAAAGACCTGAGAACAAGAGTGGGGGAAGGAGTTTGGAAGTTAGCTACTGTTGAGCGCCAAGAAACCCGTCCTGCCGGGCTGAAGGTCAGCACAAAAGGGGCATTATCTTGTCTGTGATTCTGGGTTGTCATCACAGCTGGTGAAAACCTTTTGCCCTTCTGAGGCCAAGCGGTGGTGTGGGTCAACTCATAACCAAGTGACTTGTTTACATGTGTGTGTTCAATTGCAAAAAGGAAAAAAACAAAATTTGCACTTTAATAGTTCCAGTGTCATGGACATGAACAAAATCTTACCCAGACGTTTATACTGTGTGTGAGACAGTCTTTAAAGTTATTGGTTTTTTAATATAAAATAAAATAATTTAAAATGGAAAACCTGGCTTGCTTTGCTTGTAGAAGTGGCTGGAGGGAGGAGAGTGGGAGGAGGCGTGCTGGGTTTCTACTGTGGAAGGAGACTGCACCTTTCCCAGACCGGAAACAAGCCCTGCTATTCTGAAAATAGTGTCAGCAGTCATGGAAGAAAGGCCCCCAAATTCTCCAGATGCCTGGGCCCCAGGCCTATAGAGGCAAGGTAGAGAAAAGCCCTTCTATTTGGGGAATGGTTCCCTGAGAGAGGCATGCCCCAAAAGCCAGGACAAAAGAAAAAAAGGACTTCTCCACAGATCAATCTTTCTAGTCCATTTATTTACCTGCTTGGCCTTTCCTCTTGTCAAGCCACAAGGCCTCGTGTTCTGAAAGTATTCTGAGTCCTCTCAGTGTAGGGCCGTTGGCTGTTTGGTCCTCTCTTCCCTGGAACCATGCCCCACTGTCTTGTCACCAGAGTTGGTGTGGCCCAGGGACAGTTAAAATCACAAAGCCCCCCTTTCCCCCATCCCAAGGAGGTACCCGCTGCCTGGGACAGCACGTCTGCCTTGCTTTCTCTCTCTCTCAGTAGCTAAGGGCACCCGCTCAGGACTTTCATCCCAGCCCTCTCTGTCTGCAAACTCAGGGCAAGCCATACCTGTCAAGACTCAACTACATCATCTGCAGAGTCAAGAGAACGCCATCTTCCTGGGGCTGCTGTGATGGTGAAAAGTACTTAGCACCAGAGCCTGCCGGTAACCCAAATAAGTGGTACTTCAAGAGGTGCTCGGCCCTGTGAGGGACTCCAGATTACTCTCCTAGGGGATGTCGCCCTGCTCTGAGTGCCCTCACAGGCCTGAACCTCCTCAAACCACCAAAGGACACCTGCCGGTATGGTCAGGCTGCTCTGGGAGAGGAGCCATCGTGTGTTTATGCTGGTCTGGCTGATGTATGTGCTGGGGGGAGGGGCAGAAAAGAGAGGCATAGAGTTTTCACAATTTATTCTATGTACACACCAAGCAAAGCAAACATTTTCCTGTCAGCTTTCCAAGAGGCATCCTGCTGCGGGCTCCTCAGTACAAACACCAAGACATCCTGAGAGCAGAGTGTAAGACAAGACATGAATGCTTAAGTTCTTTCAATTGTAACACGGAGTGGGGGGAGGCAGCTTCTGTCTTCCCTGCCCCTACAAGGTGCCCCTTGTCCATCTCAGCCTCAGACCCCAGTGGTCTTGTTTTTCACGTGCTTCAGGTTTCACCGTATTTGGTCAGAGCCTTAAAACCGGCCCCCACACTACTCTGAAATTTCTAGAAAATAACTGATTCAGTTAAGTAACAATCCCAAGGCTGCTGGGATGTTGTTAGTGGAGACTGCCCACTTACACTCAGAGTGTGCTCTCCTGCCCAAGGCCACTGAAGCCTGACCTACTCTACACTCTGAGTCCTACTGTGCCAGCTGCCCAACAGGTGCGGGGACACCTGGGGAGTCCTTCCAAACACTCCTCAGCCAGTGTTCCTGCCAACGAGGTCAGTTGGCAGGCACCTGCTAAGCCCTGGGCAGGCCAGGACAGGTGAGGTGTCCATTTCTAGATCTAAACAAGATGCAGTTACTTCTTACCTCCCCTTAAGAGGCAAAGGAAGGAACTGCTCTTCCCTCAATCTGACAACCAGGGGAAGGGCACATAAATAAAATCTCCTGCCTGGCAGACACTGGAGTGGGGCTGGGCTAATGAGGGCTGCACTGGCCTGTGTCCCTCAGAACACAGCCAGAGCTACTTCTCTGAGCAGAAGGCACATCCCAGCATCTTGGTGTGGTAGTGCAGTAGACGTCTGCTGCTGACTCTAGTGAGAAGGCCAGAGGAGGAAACAATTCCCCAAAGCAGACTCGTTTGAATCTAAAATGCCGGAAGGGTAAGATCTGCTCACCTGAAGAGCAGTTTTACAGCGGGTAGGAGTGGTGACTTGCCAGCTCAGGTGCAGCCTTGAGGGCTCTGGTGAGGGCTGCCATTCTCTGGCATTAAGTGGCTGGCAATAGGAGACCAAAGGAGCAAGAGCTAAAAGTACTGAGGACACAGGGATCGCAGGGAAGCTGGAGACAAGGGCTGCCTGTGGGCTCTGGCTGACACCTGACAGGGCTCAAACGAAAGGAGTCAAACTGTTTGGGGGCAAAAAGCCACCCTGCAGTCTTTCAAAACAATGTTCATTCTCTCACAGCCGCGACTCTTTACCATATTCAATCCATACCATCCTAATGCCCAGTGAATTCTATGCCAATGTTTCATAAAACTGCAGTCGTGGGGAACAATATGTACCTAGTATATGCACTCATCACATCCACGGGTTAGAGGAGAGGGAGGGAAGGAAGCAAAGAAGATGCTGCCTCCTTCCCTCCGTGTTCTTCAAAGATGCAAGTGGAGCCCAGGCCCTGGCCTTCCTCCCACCAGCATGCACTGGTTATTATGCATCTAGACATATGGGATGTACCAACGGTTCTGCTAGAGCATCAAGTTCAGCCCGCTTGGCTGCCTGGTTCAGAGCTGAGGTCCGAGACAGCCCTTCTCCAGGGGGTGGCGAGGGATGTGAAGGGCCCGTCGCTCCTGGCTGTGCCTTCACTCTAGTCCTTGGGGATCTCAAACATGCAGAGGCTCTTGTACTTCTGCAGGAGCTCATTCTTGGTCCTAACTTGCTCCCGGAGGCTGTGCAGCTGCTGCTGCTGCTGCTCAGGGCTCAAGTGGATGCCGGGCATGGTGCCGATGGCCTTCCGCACCTCCTGGAACTTGGTCTTTAGGGTGTTCAGGTCCTGGTGAACATCGGGGCTGTCCCTGTCCATGCTACAGAGGGCAGAGGCATGGTCAGCACACATGCACCACGCTGCACCCCTGCCCGCTCCCCTGTACCCAAAGAGCCCGCCACTGCGGTCTGCCAGCACCCTCAGACCCTGCTTGTGTGCCATCCCCCACCTAGGCCGTGTGCCCCCAGTCAGGGCCAGCTTGGTGACATAGCACCAGCCAGCCTGTGCTGGTGCACAGTCACAGCTCTGTGGCCCCTGTGCCAGACACAGCCCAGTGCACCCTTTCACAGCACACACCCTGCTTGCAACACTCTCCCCTTACAGTGTGCATTCTTCAACAAGCTATCTGCTTGGGCAGGCCCGTGTCTGCCATACTCACAGCCGTGTTCCTGGTTCCTTGCCCAGTGTGTAGCACGCTGCGGGCACTCAAGACACTGTTACTGAAAGAGCGAATGCTTGACACACAGGCTATTCATAATGTTTGTTGAATGAATGAACAAACTATTAACAAGATCTGGTGACGAATGCCAAAAAAAATTTGCAGATGTATCACATTTCTTCAATTTGATCAACTTCCAGGCCAATCAGATTTTTACCAGCTAGCAAGAGCTAACTTTAGCTGAGATTTTGATGCTTGAGTCTGTTAACATAAGGACTAATTTCCACAGGGAAGTTCATAAATTTTAAATTAGTTACAAGCGATTGGAAATGTCCAGCAGGTACAAGACCTCCCTGCTACAGTCAGGTTAACTCCTTGCCTCTGGGCTCAGCGCTTTCAAAGGCAAGCTCAATCCCTCACTTACAATTACTATTAGCTGCCCTGAGAGCCATGCTCCCCGTCAGTATTAAATTAAAAAACGAAAACAAAAAAAAAACTCACCTAAGAGCAAAGACACAGCCTGTCAGTTATTCCTATACATTTTTTAAAAGTTAGTAAGTGAGACTTAGGAAACAAGCCGTTGAGACTAAAAAACTAAAAGTCAATTCAGTAAGCTGTTCTAAAAGTATACCACTGAGGCATAAAAGGGGAAAGCTGTCAATGAGCATTTATTTTTCACTAAATGTTCATCCCTGGTGGGGCGTTTCAAACCAGATGGTGCTAACTCACGTGTATTATTCATCATTTCTCTGCTTGCGCAGACAGAATACCCACCTCCCTGACGACCACTGGTTATGTTATGCCTTGCAAAGCAAAGAGCTGCCACTGCCTGCTCATTATTTATCAAACTCAGAAGGCAGGACACAGAGAATCAATAATTTAAGAAATGAATGGTCAGCCAACCATTTGTCTGCTGTCATTTGATGCCCTCAACTGAGAGATACAATGAATGGTATAACCAAAACGAGTTGCTGCTGAGTTGATTCCAACGCATCGCGACTCCACATGTATGAGAGTAGAATTGGGCTCCATAGGGTTTTCAATACCTGATTTTTCAGAAGTAGATTGCCAGGCCTTTCTTCTGAAGTGCCTCTGGGTGGACTCAAATCACCAATCTTTTAGTTAGCATCCGAGTATGTTAACCATTTGTACCACCCAGAGACTATGAGTGGTATACCTTACACCAATTTCTAGGGAAGACAACTGGTATTCATGAGAACTGCAAGTTATCTGAAAGGAAGCAAATAGGGAGCAACTTTTATTTTAATTCTTTTAAGTTTCAGCTTGGATCCACACTCTGGACAGAAACCATCTGGACTCCTCAAATCATTGCACTTGGGTGGCATATGTGTTAACATACTGGTTATGGATTTAAGTCCCAAGGAGTTTTGAATTTAAAACATAGTCTTAAGAAAAATAATACACACTGCGTAAGTCCGAAAGGACATGGTAAAAATAAAAACTACATAAAACTCTGGAAGGAAATTATGCTAATCAAGTTCCTGAAGCAAACATAACCTGGCCCAAAAGAACATTTAAATCTGAAAGTAAAAACTGGGCCATGTTTAAGATGCTCATTTCTGAAAACTCCCAAAACTCAAGGGCTGCCTATTCTTCACTTGGTGAGCTTCTGGTAAGGAGACAGTCTGAAGACAGTCAATCAGGGCATAGGAGAAGCCACACTAAGGGGAGCTGAGCTGAAAGGAGGCCATAGAGCCCTAGGAAAGCCCTCTCTGCAAGCTTCTCAATCTGCCCCAGTTGGTGGAGGTAAATAGCACTGAACTCCTGGGGCGAGGAAAACACTCTACTCAGGGACTGGCTCAAACCAAGTAGGAACCTGCTAAGCCAGGATGACTGTGAAAGGCTCAAAGTGGAAGAAAAGGGACAGACCCAGATATCAAGTGAATAAAGACAGCACTGAGTGGGCCTGCCTTTGTGTGGGTGTTAGTCATTACCCAACTTAGAAGGGAAAAAAAATTATACGAGGCCAGTTCAAGAGTTTGGAAGGTGTACAACAGGGCAAGGTGAGGCACTCTGGCCCCCATGTTGTGAACAGTAGACCAGACACCACTGCAGCAGCCTGACTGGTGGCACTGACGGCCCACTGCTGTGTGAACATCTTGGGTTACTGCTGGTGTACGCAGAATGTCCCTTCAGCAGCCAGCACAGACATTTTTGTTCCCCTAAATTTTATCTGTTTTGTTGCTGTTGTTGAGAATATACACAGCAAAACATACACCAATCCAACAGTTTCTACATGTACCATTTAGTGACACTGATTACACTCTTCGAGTTGTGCAACCATTCTCACCCTCCTTTTCTGACCTTTTCTGAGTTGTTTCTCCCTCATTGACATAAACTCACTGCCCCCTAAGGTTCCTATCTAATCTTTTTTAAAAAAAATTTATTTTACTGTACTTTAAGTGAAAGTTTACAATTCAAGTTAGTCTCTCATACAAAAATTTATACATACATTGTTATGTGACCCTAATTGCTCTCCCTATACTGTGACAGCACACTCCCTTCCACCCCTGATTTCCTGCGTCCATTCAAACAGCTCCTAACCCTCTCTGCCTTCTCATCTCACCTCCCGACAGGAGCTGCCCATTTAGTCTCAAGTATCTACTTGAGCTAAGAAGCATACTCTTCACGAGTATGATTTTATGTCCCATAGTCCAGTCTAATCTTTGACTCAACAGTTGGCCTCGGGAATGGTTTTAATGCTGGGCTGACAGAGTGTCTGGGGGCCATGCTCTCTGGGCTTCCTCCAGTCTCAGTCAAACCATTGAGTCTGGAGCACAGACATTTTGTATACGTCACGAGACTCATGGCAAAACATCATACGGCTTAGGTGGATAAACTGAAGAATTATGTCCCTCCCCCTTTTAAGTATTGATGCTTTGGGACATGAAGTTGCAAACTGGCAACAACCAAGCACAAGTCTGTCCACTGGTCACTTAGCAGCAAGGGAAGCTCCCTGGATTCGCTGCCACGTGGCTTCAGCTCATGTTCTACTTGAAGCTAGCCCCCTCACTGTAACCTGAGAGTTACCAAACCTGCTCCTCTCCCTCTGCTTCCCAAACCTGAGCCTCACTTCTTTTGACCTCTCTGTGGCATCCGACTTGGCTGTCCATTTCTGAATTCCCTCCCCCTTGGCCTTGCACGTCCCACTCTTCCTAGTGGGCTTACTCAGCTAGTCCTCCTCAGCCCTTCTCCTCACCAGCTCTTGGAGCCGTGCAGTCTTCTGTCTGAAGCTTCTCCTGTTAGTGTGCGAATGCGGGTACTTTCCCCTTTTTAAAATAGTCTTTCTAATGATTATGACAGCAATAAATGCTTGAAGAAAAAAAAGAAAAAGGAAAAATGACAGACACCCAAGGCTTACAAAGTCCCTCTAATCCCGCTTCTCAAAGAGAACTTCTGTTAACATGTGGTGCACACTGTTCCAGAGTACTTCTAAACCTACAGTAACACATACACACACCTAAGTTTCTGTTATTTTCACAGACACCTGGCCATGCTACACATATGGTTCTGCATCTTGATTTTTCATTTGACAACTGTCCCTGGATATCTTTCCATGTTGATACATGTACAATTATACAGCTAAGTTATTTGGCAATATTGTTTTTATTTTTATTGTAGTATGAACGAAGTTCACATTTCAAATTAGTCTCCCACACAAAATTTTATACATACATTGTTATGTGACCCTAACTGCTCTCACCCCATTCTGCAACAGCACACTCCTCCTTTCCGCCCGATTCCCCATGTCCATTCAACCAGCTCCTAAACCTCTCTGCCTTCCCGTCTCACCTCTGGACAGAAGCTGCCCCTTTGGTCTCTTGTATCTATTTGAGCTAAGAGGCACACTCTTCACGAGAATCACTTTATATTCCACAGTCCAGTCTAAACCCTGTCTGAAGAGTTGGCATCAGAAACTGTTTTAGTTTTGAGCTGATAGAGAATCCAGGGGCCATGCTTTCCGGGGTTCCTCCAGTCTCAGTCAGGCCGTTAAGTCTGGTCTTCTTACTAGAATTTAAGTTCTGCACCCCATCTTTCTGCTGCTCCATCAGGGACTCTCTGTTATGTTCCCTGTCAGGGCAGTCATTGGTGGTAGCTGGGCACTGTCTAGTTCTTCTGGTCTCAGGCTGATGAAGTCTCTGGTTCATGTGGCCCTTTCTGCCTCTTGCGCTAATACTTTCCTTGTGTCTTTGGTGTTCTTCATTCTCCTTTACTCCAGGTGGTTGGGACCAAATGATGCATCTTAGACGGCTGCCCGCGAGCTTTTAAGATCCCAGGCGCCACTCACCAAAGTAGGATGCAGAACATTTTCTTAGTAAGCTTTGTTATGTCAATTGACCTAGATGTCCCCTGACAGCATGGTCCCCAGACCCCTACCCCTGCTACTCTGTCTCTCAAAGTATTTGATTGTATTCAGGAATCTTCTTAGCTTTGGTTTAGTCCAGTTGTGCTGACTTCCCCTGTAGTGCGTGCTGTCCATCCCTTCGTGTAAGATGATTATTATCTAATATCTAGTTAGTAAATAACTCTCACCCTCCCTTCCCACCCTTGAAACCATCAAAGAATGCTTTCTTCTGTGTTTAAACCTTTTCTTGAGTTCTTATAATAGTGGTCTTATACAGTATTTGTCCTTCTGTGAC